ACCCCTATATTCATTGCAGCATTATTTACAATAGTCAAGATATGGAAGAAACCTAAGTGCCCAACAGATGAATAGATAAAGAAAATGTGGTATGTGTATGTGTGCACATACAAACACACACACAAAATGGAATGTGAAATATTAGTTATAAAAAATAATGAAATCTTGCCATTTGTGACAACATGAATGGGCCTAGACAGTATTATGCTAAGTGAAATCAGAGAAAGACAAATACCATATGATTTCACTTATATGTGGGATCTGAAAAACAAAACAAATGAACAAATAAAGCAGAACAGAAACAGACTCATATTTTCCCATATCTGGGAAACAACACAAATTCCATGACGCATTTATGGAGATAAAACTATAGACAATTACACATTTATTCAGTATTGCAAATATTTATTTAGCACCTATTATGTGCCAGGTTCTGGAGATACCGTCATGAACAAAACTAAAATTCTACCAATATCAATTCCAATGTATGGGTTTTTCCCCAAAACCAAACAATTCTCTGACACCACCTGGTGATAGTGTCAGATCCCACAGGTTAAGAGCTCAGTCCTACAAGCCTGGTCCTCACCCCAACTTCAGATGCCAATCACAAGTCCATGTTGTCACCTGTGCTTTCAACCTACTGGCTATAGATTGGAGGTTCCAACAACAACCCAACCCTCCCTTGGGTTTGACCAATTTGCCAGGCAGCTCACAGAACTTGGAGAAATACTTTATTTTCTAGACTACCAGTTCATTAGAAAAGAATATATAACTCAGGAACAGTCAGATGGAAGAGATGCATAGGACAAAGTATGGGAAAGGGGTAAAGAGCTTCCATACCCTTTCTGGGTCATCACTCTCCCTGTACCTCCATGTGTTCACCAACCCAGAAAGTCTCTGAACCCTATCCTTTGAGTTCTTATGGAGACTTCATTACATAGGCGTGATTGATTAAATTATTGGTCACTGGCAGTTGATTCAACCACCAGCCTCTCTCCCCTCCCCAGAAGTCGGGGAGTTGGGACTGAAAGTTCCAACCCTCTAATCATATGGTTGGTTCTCCTGGCAGCCAGCCCCCATCCTTAGGTACAGTCCAAAAGTCACTTCATTAATACAACAAAAGACACCATTATCATTAGGAAATTCCAAGAGTTTTAGGAGCTTTGTGCCAGAAATGGGGATGAAGATGAAACATATATTTTGGGGTGTCTGGGTGGCTCAGTCGTTAAGCATCTGCCTTCGGCTCAGGTCATGATCCCAGGGTCCTGGGATTGAGCCCTGCATCGGGCTCCCTGCTCTGCAGGAAGCCTGCTTCTCCCTCTCCCTCTCCTCCTGCTTGTGTTCCCTTTCTCACTGTGTCTCTCTCTGTCAAATAAATAAATAAAATCTTAAAAAAGAAATATATATTTCTTATGTCACAATATCACAAAACAAAAATAATGTGCTTTCATAGAACATATATACAATGAGGGAAAGAAAGGAAAAGAAATAGGAGAAATCAAGGATGGCTCCTAAATTTTTGCTTGAGTAATGAGGTGGTGATGTATTTATTGAACTAGAAGTGTTAGATTGGGGGATGCGAGGGGGCAGGCATTAATGTGTTTGGACATGTGAAGTTGGAGGTGACTTTTAGGTATTTAAGGGGAGATTTCAGGTAGGCATAGGAATCAGGGGTCTTCTGATCAGGGGAGAAGTGAAAACTGGAGATATATATTTTTTAGTCATCATCACATAAATGGTATTTAAAATCATGGGACCAAATGAGATCATTTAGAGGAAAATTTCAGAAAGAAAAGACCCAAGATCAAACCCTTGAGTATTCAAACATTTGGAGGTAGAACAGAGGAAGAGTTTTAGTAAAGGAAATACAGAAGTAGTCTTAGTGAAGTGGGGGAAACTAGATTTTTTGAGATGTTCTAGAAACCAAAATAAGGAAGTGTTTTAATTATGTTAATTGATGTTGAGGTCAAATATAATGAGGACAGAATTGGAATTTCATTAGTAACTTCACAAGATCAGTTTCAGGAGAATAGAGTCAAGAAGCCATTAGAGTGGGGGGCGCCTGGGTGGCTCAGTCGTTAAGCATCTGCCTTCGGCTCAGGTCATGATCCCCAGGGTCCTGGGATCGAGCCCCTCATCGGGCTCCCTGCTCCGCAGGGGGCCTGCTTCTCCCTCTCCCACTCCCTGCTTGTGTTCCTTCTCTCGCTGTGTCTCTCTGTCAAATAAATAAATAAATCTTAAAAAAAAAAAAAGAAGCCATTAGAGTGGACTGCAGAGAAAATTGGAGGTGAGAAAATGTAGGCAGCAACAAGAAGCAACTTTAAAAATTTTTTTTATTGTTATGTTAATCACTATACATTACATCATTAGTTTTTGATGTAGTGTTCCATGATTCATTGTTTGTGCATAACACCCAGTACTCCACACAGAACGTGCCCTCTTTAATACCCATCACCAGGCTAACCCATCCCCCCACCCCCCTCCCCTCTAGAACCCTCAGTTTGTTTTTCACAGTCCATCGTCTCTCATGGTTCGTCTCCCCCTCCGATTTACTCCCCTTCATTCCTCCCCTCCTGCTATCTTTTTTTTTGTCTTAACATATATTGCATTATTTGTTTCAGAGGTACAGATCTGTGATTCAACAGTCTTGCACAACTCACAGCGCTCACCATAGCACATGCCCTCCCCAATGTCTATCACCTAGCCATTCCATCCCTCCCACCCCCCCACCACTCCAGCAACCCTCAGTTTCCTGAGATTAAGAATTCCTCATATCACTAAGGTCATATGATACATGTCTTTCTGTGACTGACTTATTTCACTCAGCGTAACACCCTCCAGTTCCATCCATGTGGTTGCAAATGGCAAGATCTCATTCCTTTTTATGGCTGCATAATATTCCATTGTGTATATATGCCACATCTTCTTTATCCATTCATCTGTCGATGGACATCTTGGTTAACAAGAAGCAACTCTTAAGAATTTTTCTACGAAGGAAAGTTAGGAAATGGTGAATTGCTCATGTGGGCTACAGATCAAGAAAGGATTTTTTTTTTAAGTAGACTCCATGCCTGCCCTGCATGGAGCCCAATACCGGGCTTGAACTCATGACCCTAGATCAAGACCTGAGCTAAGATTAAGAGTCGGACACTTAACTGACTGAGGCACCCAGGCACCCCAAGAAAAGATTTTTTTAATTTTTAAAAAAATATTTATTAGAGAGAGAGAGTGCTCACATGAGCAGGGGTGGAGGGTCAGAGGGAGAGGGAGAAGCAGACACCCCACCCCACAATGTGGGGCTCAATCCCAGGACCCTGAGATCATGACCGGAGCCAAAGGCAGACACTTAACTAAGCCACCCAGGTGCCCCAAAAGGATGTTTTTAAAAGATGAGATATAAAAAATATGTTTTTATGACATTGAAAATACCAGTAAAGTCAATGGCTACTAATATCAAGTGGGCTCTTACTGTTGCTGAGCGATAGTACTGTATTTCCTTAATCCATTCACTCTCCCACATTCCTAAATAACTATCATTAGAATCTCAGATGCCATTGACTATAAGATACATAAATATTTCATACTCTAAAAAAAAATGCTGCCAGTTAAAACTATGGCTTGCCAACATTTGTATGAAGGCAATTTCGCAGATGTTAAAATATGAAAAGTGTATTAGAATCAATGTAATATAGTATTTCTTTTCTCTCCTCAAACCTCCAATACCTTCTCCCTATCTTCATTTTCAGCTTCCTATTTCATTGAGAAAAGGACACTCAGAAGCACTTGGAAAAGGACACCCTCATTCTCCCACCACCAAATCTGTATGCCTATCTGCATCTGTACCTATAAATTCTGCCTCCCTTTTTATTTCAATAGATGAATGTTCCATACTCACAACTGATCCTTCTGATGTTTACTGGATTCCATCCTTTTTCTCAAGAACTTTCTTCCTGCAACTGTCCCATGTCTCCTATATTTTCAATTTCCCCCTTTACTGTATCATTTTAATTGGCATACATACTATAATTTCTTCCAGCTTAAAAAAAAAATTCTGGACCCCAAATCCATATGCAATGACAGCTTTCTTTTTCTACTCACCTTTAAAAAAAAACCAAACTTTTTTTTTTTTTAAGATTTTTATTTATTTGACAGAGAGACAGAGAGAAAGACAGCGAGAGAGGGAGTACAAGCGGGGTGGGGGGTGAGAGAGGGAGAAGCAGGCTTCCCGCAGAGCAGGGAGCCCGAGGTGGGGCTGGATCCCAGAACCCTGGGATCAGGACCTGAGCCAAAGGCAGACGCTTAATGACTGAGCCACCCAGGCGCCCCAAAAAACCAAACTTCTTAAAAGTACTGTCTATACTTGCTTTCTACACTTCCTCTCTTCCCATTCTTTCATCCCACTCTTATCAAATTCTTACCAGATTTAATCAGACTTCTAACTACACCAAAACAGCATGTTTCAACAGCTTCTACAATGCTAAATCCAATGGTCAATTCTTAGTTATCATCCTATTTATCACCAGCATTTAACACAGTGGATCACTCTCCACGTCTTGAAACATTTTCTTCCTTCGATTTTGCAGATCCAAACTCTCCTACTTTTAAGTCTGTCTCACACATTATCTCTTAGTCTTCTTTCTTCGGTCCTCTTCATCTCCTTTGTTGGGACCTAAGCTGGCACATTGCTAGAAGAAACTGAACTAAGGGTAGATTATTATTTTACACGGCTGATTTAGATTTTCCAGTTCTTAAAAATTCTTATGTCTTTTATATTTTTTAACGAAAATGATATATACACCTCCTTTTTATAAATCAGCGCGTCTCTCAGAGAAGGCCCGGAGATACCAACCCAGGAATCTTCCCCCAAAGAGGCCGATGCTTCTGACGCCTTCCGGAAACGAGCTCCACATGCCTTATGGGAAATGTAGTCCCCTATGAATAGCCTGCACCGCGGAGGGACCTGGGAACCTGGGCGTCAGTTACTTCCGCACACGCGCAATGGGGCGGCAGCCGGTATTCCGTAATCTTCCGACCTGTGCCAAGTGAATCGGGAGCGCGGGTCTCGCCCCGAGTCTCTAGGAGAGCTCTGTAACCTGATGTTTTAGAGGCAAAGCTGGGAGCGTGGCGGTGAAAGTCAGGTATGACTCTGCGGAGCCTGGGGACGTAAGGGACGGGAGAGGAGAAAGACAGACACCAGTTTATTGGCTTACCTAACCGAAGATAAAACTTCACAACCCCCACGTGCGGTGATTTCGTGTTTGGGTGTGTGAGACCTGTCCAATTCCGGAATAGTTCAGAGAGAGCAAGAGCAGGGTCTGACTACCACTCAGTGGATTCCCAGATTCCGGGTGGGGCAGGGGCAGGGGCAGGCGCAGTTTGCATATTCCTACTCTTATAGGTAGAGATAACTGTGTAGGAGTATGTGCATCAAGCTGCACCTTTCCTGGTTACAGGAACATCATTGGCCCTACCAGAGCCTGCAAAAGGTAATATTAAACCATTCAAAGGGATCTAGGAAGAAAGCATTTCTAGAGAAACTGCTATGTTCTCTTCTTAGTGTATTTTCACAATAATCTGAAGTAAGTGTTCTCTCCATTTTGCATATGAACTGAAGCTGAGAGAGGTTATTTGCTTTAGACTGAGCTTAGAAAGTGGAAGAGCTGAGATTCAAACCCAGATGAGTTTTCTCCAAATTATCTTCCTTCTCTTTCTCTCCTCTTCCTCCTCCTCTTCTTCTTTTGAGTATAGTTGACACACAATGTTACATTAGTTTCAGATGTACAACTTAGTGATTTGACAAGTTTATACATTATACTATGTTCACCACAAGTGTAGTTACCATCTGTACCCCTTAAATGACTATTACAGTATCATTGACTATTCCTTATGCTGTGCTCCAAATTTTTTTCTTTTTTTGCAAGATAGCATCCTGCGAAAAAAACAAAGAGTTGGATTTATTCTTCTTTTGAAATATTTGAGCAATGAATTCTAAGTAAATTTCGATTTGTAGTCTTCTTTTTTTTTTTTTTAAAGGGTCTCTGTTGAATCTGCAGATTTTCCAGGGAACACTATGTAAATAAAGCTGTGAGTCCCTTTTGCGTATTTTAGCCTTTCTATGGCCCCAGCTTTGCTGGTTGGAATTTTTAAAAACCGATACTAGGCTCATGGGAGATGGTGACTTTCCAGAGAAAGAGGGAGAGAGAGAGAGAGAGATTGATTTAGAGTTTAAACTGAAAGTGCTCCAGCTTGAAAAAAAAAAAAAATTCCTGGGTCCAGCCTTCTCAAGAAAACCCAACCTAATATGAGCTCTCTTATCCCAGCTTCAGAGCAGAGAATTCGAGAGATATCGAATCTCAGAGACCAGGCTTTTAGTTAGTCTTTTGATTCATTTATTTTTATTTTCTTAGGATAAATTTTGGGAGGAAAAAATGTCACTGGTTCAAAGATTAACAACTTGCTATTAGATCAGCAGGACAGAAGTGTACAACATATTTATCTAACCTTCATATATTCATACCAAAACCACCAGTAGAGTTTGGTGCTTATAAAATATGGACTTTTCTGACATCTCCTAGAATCATCATTCTCCCACTAGGTGACATTTACTGAAGCTGCAATGTGGGTCATTCTTTTCTGATAGTGCTTCTTTTCTTTTCTACATTGCTTCCTAGTTTTTCATGCCTTTCTATTCTTTTTTCCCATTTTTATATTCATAGATCTCTGTGTAAGAGCTGCAGAAAATGATCAACTTGCAGGTAATGTATCCATTTATTCAGTCACTTAAATCTCTCAAAAATCCATATAAAAAGGAAATGTATAAACAGGGAAAATGTGGATTGGATCGATCAAGTCCAAAAGAAAATTTAGAAAATTGATAAGTTGATATCCAGGTCACAGGGTCTGCACATAGTTGGAATAAATTTGAGCTGCATGTGTATACCCAGTCTTTATACAATCAAAATGGATAGCCAACCAGTTAAAGTATTGGTATTATCTGTAATGATGAAGCTAAATAATTCCTCAGATAAGTAAAGATATTCCTGATTCAATTCTCTGGGAAAAAAAAATCTTATAATGGGTTTTCATAGAGATAATGTTAGAAATAACATTCATAGCAACAACCCTGTGATAAATATAATGTCACATTTCCCGTGACTTTCTTAGAGTGTTTCCCAGAGTAAGCAGAGAACATAGTGCCAATAAGCAGCACTATATGAACTCAATTTGTAAGTTCAGTTACATAGCCTTTCTAATATTCTTCTGGAACCATAAGTAAATCTTGTACCTTTTCCCAGAGTCTTCTGGTATTCTTGAGCATTTTCTCTTCCATGTGAATTTTAAAATCAGTGTGTCAGGCTCTATAAAGGAATATATTAGGTGTTCTAATTGTGATTGCGGTATACTTTTAGATTGATTTGTAGAGAATTCATAACTTTTCAATAATGTATTCTCCTTTCATTTTTTTATAGGTCCTTATTTACATTTTTATAGGTTTATTATAATTCTTGTACATTTCTTGTAATGTTTATTCTTACTTATGGTTTAGATTGCTGTTGAGAATGGATGGATCTCTTTTCATTATATTTTCTAATTGGCTATTTTGGTGTATAGGAAAATATGCTTTTATCTATTTGACTTTATGTCAACTTACAGGACTCTTATTAAGTCCAAGAATTTTTTAGTTGGTTCTTAGATTTTCTAGGTAGACAGTCATATACTCTTCAAATGGAGTTTTGTTCCTTACTGCTCCATATGTATGTCTTCAATTTTTTTCTTGTCTTATTGCAATGGACAGGACTTCTGGGAACTATAATTTTCAATGTAATTACTAGCCAGTATCTTTTTTGTTATAATTTTAATGGGAATGGTTCCAGTGTTTCATTGTTTCCTTTTGAATTTTGGTAGATATTTGGGGTTTTTTTGTTTTTTGTTGTTTTAATCAAGTTAAAGATTTTTAGCTTAAGATTGTTTTCATAAATTGGAAACTTTTTTTCTTATATGTTTTTTAAAATACCTGTTGATAAAATAATATATTTTGTCTTCTTTAATACAGCAGTTTAGATAATTTCTAATACATTTCTTAATACTGAACTATCTATGCATTCATGGGACAAACCCTAGCTAGTCTCCTAACTTTTTAAAGGGCCATATAGTAAATATTTTAGGTTTGAAGTCCACACGGCCTCTGTGGCAACTACTCAACTGTGACTTCGCAGCTGAAGTAAATGAATGGGTGTAAATATTCCAGTAACATTTTATTTACAAAAACAGCAGGCCAGTGTATAGGTTGTAGTTTGCCGACCCCTGTTCTTTATGGTCTTAACTATCTCTTTGTGAAAGACATGTAGCTACATGCCTTTTTAATTTCAACGTAAGTTAGTTAAACATGATTTTGGCCTTATGGTTGAGAGGGTATATTTTATCATGTAAAAAAGGGTCCTTATTTTCTATTTTATTATGGTCATGTGAGTCTGACATGTTAACCTTATAGCCCTTCTAATTTATATATTTACTTTATTGTGTCTAATAGATTGTAAGATCTCTGAGACCAGTAATACCTTTATTCTTTTTTGTATCACTAGTACAGTGTATGGTAGGTCCTTATTAAACATTTTTTGAGTGAATGAAGGAAGGACATATAAACAATATTTTAAATAATTTTATTGAGACATAATTCAAATATTACAGATTGACCCATTTAAAGTATATACAACTCAGTGGTTTTTAGTCTATTCACTAAAATTATGCGCTCCATTATCTAACTTTAGAATATTTTCATTACCTCAAAAGAAACCCTATATTAGCAGTCATTCCCTGTTCCTCCCATCTCCCAGCCCTAATTTGTTTTCTGTTTCTATGGATTTGCCTTTTCTGAACATTTAATGTAACTAGGACAATACAATATGTGATTTTTTTTTTTGACTAGCTTCTTTCACCTAGCACAGTATTTTCAAGGGTCATCAATGTTACATGTATGCCAAATAATATTGCATTATATGGATATACCTCATTTTGTTTATCCATCTATTCATCAGCTGATGGATACTCATATTGTTTTTACTTTTGGATGAATACTTCTTGGTGAACATTTGTGTATAGGTTTTTATATGGGCATATATTTTCAGTTTTCTTGGGTATATACTTAGGAGGAATTGCTGGGTCATATGGTAACTCAATGTTTTACATTTCAAGGAACTGTAAAACTGTTTTCCATAGTTGTTGCACCATTTTACAACCCCTCTAGCAATATATGAGAGTTCCAGTTTTACCACATCCTTGTCACTGCTTGTCATTGTCTGTCTTTGATTTTAACCATCCTAGTGAGTGTGAAGTGGTATCTCATTTGGTTTTGATTTGTATTTACTAATGATGTTGAGCATCTTTTCATGTGCTTTTGGACCATGTGTGTCTTTGGAGAAAATCTGTTCAAATCCTTTGCCCATTTTTAAGTTGGGTTATCTTTTTACTGTTGTGTTGCATATTCTAGATACAAGTCTCTTACCAAGGTATATGATTTGCACATATTTTATCCTATTCTGTGGGTTGTCTTTTCACTTTCTTGATGTTGTCCTTTGAAGCACAAAGTTTAAATTTTGATGATTTCCATTTTATCTGTTTTTTTCTTTGGCCACTTACACTTCCTGTTGTATCTAAGAAACCATTGCCCAATCCAAGGTCAGAAAGATTTACTCCTATGTATGTATTCTAAGAATTTTATAGTTTTAGCTCTTGCATTTAGGTCTCTGATCCATTTTTAGTTCATTTTCGCATATGATGTGAGGTGTTTGTGTGTGTGAAGGGGGTCCAGCTTCATTCTTTTGCATGTGGATATTTAGCTATCCCAACACCATTTGTTAAAAAGACTATGCTTTACCCGATTCAACTGTCCTGACACTAGTGAATATTTTTTTTCACTAGTGAATATTTTTAATGTGATTTTTGTTTCTATCACAAATATATTTCTGAGTCAAGCATACAGTAGTTATCATATATAACTTTCTGAAAACTCAACAATGAATATGATATGATCATAAAAGATTGCCATGATTCTCTTGCAAGTCCCCAGAAGATGCACACTTTAGTTTGAAGATGAATGTGCTGTTACAGGGATCAGTGACATTCCCGGATGTGGCTGTGGACTTCACCCCAGAGGAGTGGCAGCTGCTTGACTGTGAGCAGAGAACCTTGTATTGGGATGTGATGTTGGAGAACTTTAGAAACCTCATCTCAGTGGGTAAGGACAGTGGGTGGTAACTCTTCAGGGGAACTAAGAATATACTCCTAGCGCCCTGCCTTTAGGATTTGTGGAAGCTGTGGACATTCTGAAGCATTCCTGAGTTTGGCCCTGAATGTTGGTGGTCAGAGATTCTTAATCCCCTTTGAGGTGATGCATAAACAGATAGAGGGTTTATGCTTCTGCCTCCCCAATGGAGGAGAAGGGTCTTTTCTGTTCCAAAGCCTGTTTGTCATCCTTTCCAGGCCCTGAGACTCAAGGAGACAGACCTGAATTGCGAGGTAGTCGTTTGTCTCTGGCACTTGGTCTCCAGTTCTGTGTTGTTTCCCATGAACAGGGGGCCCAGTTACCAAAACAAAAGCGATCTTCAAGGCAGAGCAAGGACAAGAGCCATGGATGAGGGAAGGGGTGAACCCACGTTGGCGCCATCCAGGTGAGTGAAAGAAAACCAGGTAGATGGGAGTCTTTGGAATTGAGATTCCAGTTGGTCAGTGAGGGACAGGTCCCTCTGAAGCAGCTCTTTCAGGAAGCCCTTCTTAAAAGCCACACAGCTTTGGAAGTGACTGGGTCCACTTGACATAACATCGTCAGATCCCCAGATGACACCTTCACTCACTCTGCTCACATAGCCACTCTTTCTCTTTGCTCAGCTTTTGTATGGAGGGAGGTCCCTCTCCTCTCTGCCCCAGCTCCCTGCACTGCCTGTTCCATGGAGGTCCTTGCTTTGTTCTCTTAATTCCTAAAATCTTCATTCTTCTTTTTTTCCTCAACACGAGCACAGATCTTTTCCATACATCTGGTTCTCATAAGGTAGTCAGATTGTGTGGATTTGAAGTCTTACTCTACCAGTCACTGTCTAACCTAATTATTTTGTAGCACAACTTTTTTTATAAAGGAGGGATAATATTAATCCTTACTTCAGGTTTCTTTTAAAGATCACATGAGTTAATGCATGTAAAACCCTTCAAATAGTTGGTATATAGTATGTGTTCAGTATATGTTGGTTGTTTTTATTCCAAAACTTCTAGTAACATTATGCTTTCTAATTATTTCCCCTTTTCAAAAAAAAAACCTCTTCCTTTTCTTGTAACATATACCCCACCTGTGTACCCCATCTTGCTCATCTTTAGTCTCACTGCTGACTTGGGGTATCTACCTTATAGTGCATCTCTCTGCTTCACTTGGTAATACTGATATTATTTGGAAATTCCCCAACATCATGTGAGTTGGTTCCTCACAAATCTGCCCTCACCCTCACTTACTGTTTCCCCACCGTTGCTTCCTGCCTTTGTGTCCACCTTCAGAACTCCTCTCACCACAACTCCCTCAGAAACTTCATCCCTCTGAAGAACTAATGGGATTTTCTTTGTGCTATCTGTGGCATCTGTACGTCTCCAATTTCTCATTCCCATACTTTTTCCCACCTGGCCTTCATCTCAGTTTTTTCATAGTAAGCACTATTTAATATTCTTCAACCTTCACCTTTCTGTTTACGTTATAATAAAGGATAATGGCTGGCCTGCTGCTTTGCAGTCTCCAAATCACTGTGGTAAGCAACTTAGCTTTTTTCCCTCAAGAGTGTGTCCTTACATACTTTTATGACTTATTACCTATGATTTAACTATTAGTTTATCCAAGACTGATTTAAAATAAAATTTTCTTTTTCCACAGAGCCTATAAAAGATGTATGTTTCAAATGATTAAGACACAAATTAAGTGTATTTTAGATCCCCTGGGTCCCCAACTTCTAATGACCTAAACCAAGTGAATTTTAACTCCTAATAGGGTGTCTAGGCTGTTCATGAGTCTATATTGCCAATTTCATCCTATTTTCTGGCTTATCTTAGATGTTCCTGCAAGATGTATCCAAATCATTACATGTTCCTTGTCACTCTCTTGACAAACACAAATTATTTCTTCATAACTTGTGATATTTAAAAGGATTTTAAGGCCCTCTTTAATGTGATCCCATTTTGTTTGCCCGGAATGGTCCATCTTTTCCTTATGCCATGGCAGTTGGGCTCTTTAGTGAACTTTGTACATGATTTTCTTCTGTGCGTCAGCTCTTTTGATGCTGATGTGCTCTACCTAACAAAGCCCAGCATGCTAGTAAGTCTAACTTCAGTCTTTTCCTCTTTCATGGTAACTCCAGCCTAGATTAATCTCTACCTTCTTGGAACCTCCATCCTAGCCCTCCTATGACTCTATCATGAAAACTTGACATATATTCTCTTAGATTTTTTTTTAATAATGTGGCTTATAAGGCATGTTTTCTTGTGATAATGCCCTGAAGAGAAAGCCCTGTACCATTTTTTGTTTTTGCACTATTTCTGAGCACACAACAGATATTTAATGAACATTTTATTAATTCACTGTTGTAAAGTCAGGCATTGTGGAATGTTTCTTATTCTTTCAATGAGGCTTTTTTATGATTCCTGAGAAGGATTCACAGAAAGCCAAAAAAAAAAAAAAAAAAAAAAACAACAACCACAACCCCAAAACAAAAAACAGCCCATTACCATTTTCCATGTGTGTAAATTGTAGTTGAAAGGCAAAACAGCCATATAAAACATTTTAAAGTTTTAGGATTGTGGAATATTTGTTCAATGCACAATAACATTGCCGTTTTTGTTCTAGTTAATTGCCGGAATGAATGGTTTCGGGGAGCAGTGGTGACTATCTTGGGAATTCAGAGGAAAAGGAGCTTAAAGTTTAAAGTATACAAAGATTAGAGGAGTCTTTTTTTGAGATCATGGAACAATGGCTCCTCCCTAAAGAATATCTAAGGACCAGATAGGATGAGAGGGGGTGAGGTAGGGCATGTGAAGGTGGGGAAGAGACATGAGTAAAATATTATAGTTATTTAGAGTCTAGAATTCTTGGAACAGAGGTATTTGTTCAGGACGAGAAGAATGTGTACTTAGATACCATAAGTGAATTCATTATAATGTATAGTTTTGTTCACCAGGCTGAGTGCCTTGGATTTTTCAGTTGGTTCCTACTAGTTGAGGTAACACAGGATGCTGCTTCCCATTAGTTGAAGTAGAGAAGAAAGAAGACAGGAACCCCAATCCCCATAAAGAAATGCGCACTAATGGCTATAGCCCACTACTCGGGGCAGCTCCACAGAGAAGAATGAGGCATGGAGCAAGAAGTTGGGGTGTGGTACTAACATTCCACAAGGAGGGAAACTCAGGAATGGGGAATATAACCCCTTCTCCCTATTTTTTTTTTAAAGTTTATTTATTTAAGCAATCTCTGCACCCCGTGTGGGGCTTGAACTCATGACCTTGAGATCAAGAGCCTCATGCTTCTCTCACTGAGCCAGCCAGGTGTCCCCCCTTTTTAATGGAGAAATGGATTGGAGATTTTTAGGGTTTTGAGGTTAGGAATGAAAAAAATGTGACTTCAGGTTAAAGAAAAGTGACTTCAGCAGCTTTCTGGGGACTAGTTTGTTAGGTAAATTGAAATAAAATGTAAAAACAGTACTTGTCAAATACAAATATGACAAATGGTCATGTATAGAACCCCCCCCCCCAAAAAAGAGATGCAGCCAGAATAAAAGCAATAGCAAGCAGGCAGAATCTGTGCCGGGACTTACAAGTACATGGGAGAATGAATCCCAGCTGTTGCAGAGTTAGAGCCCTGTCTGTAGACATGTCTCACTTGTGATATGGATGGAGTTAGAGGACTGGAAGTATAAGAATGTTCCTGAAGGTAACTGCCATTGTGCCAGGTGACTAAGAGGAAAAAGAGATGTGAATGAGGGAAGTGGAGAGCCCTCCCATTAGGGTAATCTAGGACTGGAGTAGTGAGGATTCTAGATCTGCCACCTCCAGATCTAGTTTTTCCTCTGATATCTTCCCTTAGCTCCTAGTATCTTGTTCTTTGGGTCACCTCATCCATTGGTCAGATCTCTTCAGTGGGCTCTCTTCATGTGAGACAACCAGGCCTCGATGTTTGTACACTATTCACTGTAACTTGTGCCTATTTCACAATCTTTCCATAGGTCACAAGTTAAGCCATCTATTCTCATTATTGTCATTCATCTGCTCCCATTTCCTCTTCAGCAATTGTATTCTTAAAGCTCAGGAGGGAAGCAAGTACAGGATTTGTTTCAGAATTAGATACTAGATTTGAAATAATGTTTCTTTCCATAACTGGTATGGAAAAAATTAACAGAGCCATGTTTTATATACTCCTTTTTAGAAGCTGATTGCCTACTTGTTGATGAATCAGAGAAGCACCAGGAAAGCAAAGACAATTTTTTAAATTCAGTTTTGTTCACATTCAATAAAATTCTGACTGTGGAGAGACTCCATGGTTATAACATGAGCACAAGTCTTAATCCTACAAGAAAAAAATCATATAAATGTAAATCATATGGGAAGAGTTTGCAACCTACTTTAGATTTACTTAATTATAATAGATGTTATACTGAAGAAAACTCATATGAATGCACTGAATGTGGGAAAGCCTTCAAAAAGAAATTTCATTTCATTAGACATGAAAAAAATCATACAAGAAAAAAACCCTTTGAATGCAATGACTGTGGGAAAGCCTACAGCAGGAAGGCTCACCTTGCAACTCATCAGAAAATCCATAATGGAGAGAGACCCTTTGTGTGCAATGATTGTGGGAAAGCGTTTATGCATAAAGCACAACTGGTGGTCCACCAGAGACTCCACACGGGAGAGAAACCTTATGAATGCCATCAGTGCGGGAAGTCATTCACTTGGAACTCCTCCTTTACCCAACATGTGAAGTCGCATACACTTGAGAACTCGTTTGAATGTAAGGAATGTGGGAAAACCTTCAGGTATAGCTCATCCCTTTATAAACATTCTAGATTTCATACAGGAGAGAAACCCTACCGATGTATTGTATGTGGCAAAGCTTTTGGTAACACGTCTGTGCTTGTTACGCATCAAAGAATTCATACAGGAGAGAAACCATATGGGTGTATCGAATGTGGCAAAGCCTTCATCAAGAAGTCACATCTGCTTAGACATCAGATAACTCATACAGGAGAGAAGCCCTATGAATGTAATAGGTGTGGGAAAGCATTTTCCCAGAAGTCAAATCTTATCGTACATCAGAAAATTCATACATAATATTCATGTTGAATATGACAAAGCCTTAAATACTAGATAAATCTTATTAAAACAGAATTCATGGTGAGAAATCCACCAATTCAAATGGATTTGGAAGAGTAGATTCCCATAAAAAAGAATCAATGCCAATCATGTTCTGGAAGTGATTATTAATAAAGTTTTTACAGAAAAAGTTCACAGAAAACATTGATTTATAAGTAATAGAGCATAGAGCTTAGAAAGTGAGCATAAATTAATCAAGGAATCAGTGAAAACACTATCTCTGATTTTTATTTTTATAACATTATAGAATTATACAAGTATGAGTATAAAATATGTTTATTACATTAAATTATATCAATTAAAGTGAAGTACATATCATTTTTTCTTCGAATCCTAACAATATACAAGTGGAAAAAATGTGGTCTAATATGAAATATGAATTTCAGTAATATTTTTATCCATTTGCTGGCACTTTTAATGGGTAAGGCAGTGTTACTGATCTGTCTCCTCTTTAGTTATAAAACTTGTTATAAAGATGTTTTCCTATGTATGTAAACAGCAAAACAACCAAGGCACCATTTGAGAGGGAACAGCAGTTGTATTCCGTATTACAGTAAGTATTCAGTTGAGAATAAGTATTTAAATAAGTTTGTAAATAAAACATTTGCACTTCAAATATTCCTATTCTTTTTCATTGGTGTATCTACATAAGATGTGAGTGTGGCTCAAGTAGTGTCTATCATGGGTACTATCTGTATTTGATTTTAATAAGTAGGGTGTCATACTTTGCAACTTTTGGGGAGTGAGTTTTTGGGTCTGTATTTGTTTTAAGAGATCAATACAGGTTTAGCACCTGGGGTGCCTAGAATTGCCCTTGTGACAGCATAGGCAGCATTAATCAATTTGAAAAGAGCAAGTTTCTCTGCTTAGCAACTTGAATCTGGAATGTGATATTATGTAAGTTACACATATTCCCTTAAAAGGACAAACCACCATTATTTAGGCTAGAGTTTTTATTGCTGTGCACAGTGTCCTTGCTAATGTCAAAAACCTTTATGCCGGGGCGCCTGGGTGGCTCAGTCGGTTAAGCAGCTGCCTTCGGCTCAGGTCATGATCCTGGGGTCCTGGGATCAAGCCCCGCGTTGGGCTCCCTGCTCAGCGGAGAGCCTGCTTCTCCCTCTCTGCCTGCCTCTCTGCTTACTTGTGCTCTCTCTCTATCTCTCTGTCAAATAAATAAAATAAAATCTTAAAAAAAAAAAAAAAACACCTTTATGCCTTCTTGAATGGTGACAAAACAACCTGAACCTAAATTTGGATATCAAGCCTTTTCAAGTTTAAGCCGAGTTACAACTCTGTTGCATTGTTTTTCTTCCATTAGTCATTTTTTTGAAGAGTAATGTTGGGTAATGACTATAAATGAATGATAGTAGTTTTTTGAACAAGCATACTAGAACTTAAGGAACTAAATTAAATCTTGTCTACTGACAAAAATTCTTTGCTTGACCAACCTTTAGTCAGGCTCCCAAACCTCCTAGGCCTTCTCTTCTGTGCACTTCCTTGTAAAATCTAGTTTTAGCAAGAATCTCACTAAATCAGTTTAACCAGAATTCCCTACCCTTGATATCTGATCTGGTTCCTCACCCTCTACAGTCCATCAGGTGAGGTCTGATCACACTGGCCTTTCTTCAGCAAGATTCCTGTTAGGTCAAGGGGCTGGCTTCGGCTCAGGCCATGATCTCAGGGTCCTGGGATTGAGCCCTGTGTCGGCCTCCCTGCTCAGCGGGGAGTCTGCTTTTCCCTCTCCCTCTGCCCCTCTCCCTGCTCATGGTCACGTGCTCTCTCTCTCTCTCTCCCTCCCTCCCTCCCTCCCTCCCTCCCACGTGCATGTTCTCTCTCAAACAAACTTAAAAAAAGGAAAGGACTCCTTTTAGGTCAATTTAGCCAGAACCTTCCTTACCTCTGATGTTTTCTCTTAGTAATTTTCCATCCATTGACCACCAACCCTCTCCTCCCTGCTCCTTTGCTATAAATTCCCACTTGCCCATGCTGTATTCACAGTTGAGCCCAATCTCTCTCCCCGACTAAAATCCCATTATGGTGGTCCTTATACCTATCTGAATAAGGTCTGCCTTGCCATCTTTTTTTTTTTTTTTTAAGATTTTATTTATTTATTTGACAAAGAGAGACACAGCGAGAGAAGGAACACAAGCAGGGGGAGTGGGAGAGGGAGAAGCAGGCTCCCTGCTGAGCAGAGAGCCCGATGTGGGGCTCGATCCCAGGACCCTGGGATCATGACCTGAGCCGAAGGCAGACGCTTAACGACTGAGCCACCCAGGCGCCCCTGCCTTGCCATCTTTAACAAGTGTCCTTGAATAGCTTCTTTCTTCAACAAACCCCAAGTATTTCAGGAGGCTACATGCTGGTTCACTCTTGGAGTTTCCAAAATTTCCGGAACCTCTTTCTTTTGGAATTGTCCTCAGAATCAGTTTGACAGCCATGCAGGAAATTCTTTAGGTATTTATAGTCACAGGACTTGCCTTTTTCTCAGCTCAACTGTTTTCTCATTTCCTACATGAAATCCTCATTTCGTATTACTTAGTTCTGCCATTCCATCCTATCTCCCTTTCCCAAACCTGTGCCTCTCATCTGAGAAATGCCAAACTACTTAAGTCTACAGGAAGAGAAGGAGTAGGGGGCCCTACTGTTGCCAGCATGAGCGAGGCCCCTTGAAAGAGCAGCGGTGTAGGTCAAAGTGGCAAGAAGTGTGCACTGGTCTGCTCTGGAAATAAGGGAGTAAAACAAGGGAGTTTTGATTGTAATATATCAGGGAGCATGTAATCTGGGCTTCATGAATTATTTTGCTCCCTCCTTTAAGTGGAAGTAGGAACACAAGTAGAAGATAAAATTATTTCCAGTACTGGGCAAATATAAATTCCTTCCTAGAGAGCTTTTGTCGCTGACCGCATTGTCTTGGGCTGTACAAGATTTTGGCAAGAAGAAAAACAAAACTATGCTTGGATCCATCCAAACATCTTGGATTCCCAGAACTCCCTAGTCTATTTGTGCTCTGTGGCTGAAACAGAGTATTTAGGTGAGAAATCCCTTGATTTTTCCCACCTCTAAGAGTTTGTCATACCTTGATATTTTCTTTTCTCACTCTATAAAAAGATCACTCAAAAACCTTCTTTCTCTTTTATTTATACATGGATGGTGGATTGGTATTTTTCCCCCAATGAAACTTCATTTTTCTGATTATATCATATGTGCTAATTTTTAAGAATTAAATACAAAAATGTAATGAAAAGAAAAAAATGGAAAAGGGAAGTCTGAGTTTAGGAGTCCTCATGTTCTAGAAACAGAACATTTAGGCCTTCTAAGATGTGAAAAACTTTAAGGGAACCTAGAAAGCATAGAAATAGAATGTATCTAGAGAGGAATAATGAAAACTTAATAATTCCAACAGTGATCAGGAAAGATGAAAGGTGCAGAAAAAAGGTAAATAGAAAGTAAACAAAAAAGGCATAAATAAATAATAGCCTATCAATAATAACATTAACTGCAAATGGGTTAAACTCACCTGTGAAGAATAGTTTCCATTACGATTTTTCCAGAAGCACTTTAATCTTTTGTTTTTATTTTATTTTTTTATTTGGAGGGGAGGGGCAGAGGGAGAGGAAGAATCTTAAGCAGGCTCCATGCCCAGTGCAGAGCCTGATGCAGGGCTGATCTCACAACCCTGAGATCATGAGAGGGAATCAAGAGTTGAATGCTTACCCGAATGAGCCACCCAGGTGCCCCATTCTTTTAATAATCTCCTTTGCAAACTAAAAATAACTAACTTCCAGTGAGCTAGAGCATACCACTGGACACTTCTTGCCACCTTAACCCACTCAGTTGCCCTTCACTTGCAACAGCCCTCTACACATTTCTCATTGTCTTTTAAAAAATTATTTATTTATATGTCACACAAAGGGAGAAAGAGACAGACAGCACAAGCAGGGGGAGCGGCAGACAGAGAGAGAAGCAGGCTCCCTGCTGAGAAAGGAGCCTGATGCGACACTCGATCCCAGGGTCCTGGGATCATGATCTGAGCCGAAGGCAGATGCTCAACTGACCGAGCCATCCAGGTGTCCCTCACTTCTTGTTGTCTTAAGTACACTTTGGAGTTTCTTTGATGAGGGACAGGAGCTGGGAGAGGAGTTTCAGCACCAGTATTGTTTACTTCCTGTACCGTGTTCAAAATTATTTAAATTGCTTCATTTCTTTGCATGTTTATTACTGATTTAATATGCAGTTTGGTTCACTTTCTTCTGTTGGCATTTAATTTTAGGGTTTTGTTTTTTTCTTTTTTAATTTACTTTTTACTTTAAGTAATGGCAATTTTCAAACATGCACATAAATAGAGGGAATAGTATAATGAATTCCCACGCATGTACCTGCTTTCTACTTCAACAATCAGCAATTCAAGGCCAATCTTATTTCTTTTTTTTTCCCACACAAGTAGTTAAGGTTGTCTTTCTTTTTTTTTAAATTTTTTATTGTTATGTTAATCACCATACATTACATCATTAGGTTTTGATGTAGTGTTCCATGATTCATTGTTTGTACATAACACCCAGTGCTCCACACAGAACGTGCCCTCTTTAATACCCATCACCAGGCTAACCCATCCCCCCACCCCCCTCCCCTCTAGAAATCTCAGTTTGTTTTTCAGAGTCCATCGTCTCTCATGGTTCGTCTCCCCCTCCGACTTACTCCCCTTCATTCTTCCCCTCCTGCTATCTTCTTCTTTTTTTTTTCTTAACATATATTGCATTATTTGTTTCAGAAGTACAGATCTGTGATTCAACAGTTTTACACAATTCACTGCACTCACCATAGCACATACCCTCCCCAATGTCTATCACCCAGCCACCCCATCCCTCCCACCCCCCACCACTCCAGCAACCCTCAGTTTGTTTCCTGAGGTTAAAAATTCCTCATATCAGCGAGGTCATATGATACATCTCTTTCTCTGATTGACTTATTTCACTCAGCATAACACCCTCCAGTTCCATCCACGTCATTGCAAATGGCAAGATCTCATTCCTTTTTATGGCTGCATAATATTCCATTGTGTATATATACCACCTCTTCTTTATCCATTCATCTCACGATGGATATCTTGGCTCTTTCCACAGTTTGGCTATTGTGGACATTGCTGCTATAAACATCGGGGTGCACGTACCCCTTCGGATCCCTACATTTGTATCTTTGGGGTAAATACCCAGTAGTGCAATTGCTGAATCATATGGTAGCTCTATTTTCAACTGTTTGAGGAACCTCCATACTGTTTTCCAGAGTGGTTGCACCAGCTTGCATTCCCACCAACAGTGTAGGAGGGTTCCCCTTTCTCCACATCCCCGCCAACATCTGTCGTTTCCTGGCTTGTTAATTCTAGCCATTCTGACGGGTGTGAGGTGGTATCTCATTGAGGTTTTGATTTGGATTTCCCTGATGCCGAGCGATGTTGAGCACTTTTTCATGTGCCTGTTGGCCATTTGGATGTCTTCTTTGGAAAAATGTCTGTTCATGTCTTCTGCTTATTTCTTGATTGGATTATTTGTTCTTTGGGTGTTGAGTTTGATAAGTTCTTTATAGATTTTGGATACTAGCCCTTTATCTGATCTGTCATTT